TACTTTTCTAACACATTATGGCCCAAATGGAGGAAGACTAATACGTCACTTTGTTTCAGTCTTTAAGTTTGTTTAAATAATGGCTCAATCCTTTGTAAAATTGGTGACCAAATTATGTTTTGGGTTAATCAATTAACGAGTTTTAGTTTGGTTTTGGTTTCAAGTTATAATAAGGGCTCAATTGGAAACTTAGGCATCAACCTTTGGAAGACCAAGAAGGTGCATAACTGATTGACTTTTGCTTGCCACAATTTTAGTTATAATCAGTCATTAAGTAATTTTCAATTCCTAGGTTAATGGATCATTATTAGCATTTATTTACCTCCATTAAGTAGTTTTCAATTCCTAGATTAATGAATCATTATTAGGATTTATTTTCCTTTATTGAATCTTTATAACTCTGATGACAAAGCTTCTATATAAGTTGAATCATTTTTAGAAAAAAAAAAAAAGCAGTTGAGTTTTATTCAGAAGTATTAAAGTTTAGCTACTGATTCAAGAACCCTTGGTTGTATCAAAAGACTTTCACATCCTTTATGAGTTGTCTTCCTTGGGAAGAGTGATTCTTTCCTTCGACATTTCACATTCATCTCTTGTTCTTTCTTCACCAGAACCCACAAAACTCAATTTTATCCATATTTATTTCGTGGTCATAAATTCTGTTCTACTCGTCCAAATTGAGTATTTTTTGAGCCTAAATTGAAATTCAGAATGAGAACTTTCACCTTGTTTTTTAATCACCTCAATTGGAGTTTTATAGCTTGATATATCAACATTTCAAAAATTCTGCCCAACCTTGAAATTTTCACCACTTTCTAATTCACATTCTCACTAATTTCCTAAATTTCCTACAAGATTCTAACCCTAAAGATCCTAAGTCAGCCTTTGTGCAAATGAGATTCATATCAGAATGGTATTATTACTTTACTTTGTTTTTTATAATTTACATTTTAGAATTAATAACATTAAACTTTTGTTGTTATCAGAAGGAGGAAAAAGTAATAGACTCATCATTGACTGAGTTTTATTTTCGTACACATCGGAGAAAGAAGGATAAAAGCTAGGTTGGTCCTCATGCCAAAATTGTTTTTGTAAGTTTTCAATTTGATAAGCACATTGGTAGTGAAAAACACATAGTCAAATATGAAAGCAGTTATCTATTCAAGCGTGTGTTTAGTCAAACCACAGAGAGGACTTGGAGTTGCTAATTGAAGAAAATTAGATTACATTGATAATTGAAGAAAAACATAACTTCATATCGAAAATGGACATTGGATAGGTGGACTTTGTTTATAAAGTTTCAGAGCATACACACAACATATTGATTAATGAATTAAGTACTTTTTCATTTGGAGGAGAAATTTGAACAAAAGGAAAATTTGTTATTATCTTATAGTTTTAGGGAGGATGAAATTGATGATGAACAATCCATGAATCAAATGCCATCAAATTTGGATATATGGATCAATTCAGTTGGAAAAAATAAGAGAAGACTATTTAGTCTTGAATCTTTAGACAAAATGTTAATCATGTGTTCAATAAAGTAATCAAATTTTGAAAATGTTGATACTTTAAGGAGTCAAATTCAAGCCTTAAATGAATCATTACATAGGCAAAAACAAGAAATGAGACAAGAGTTACAAAGATAAAGAAAAGTTAAAAATGAAATTAAGAGTTGACTGGAACTAATAATCAAGGAGTCATCTTAATATTACAATGAAAATGATGATGATGGTGATGAAGACAATGATCATATTGAAGATGATAATATTTAAAATTTTATTCTTTAGTTATTATAACACTTAATTATTGAAAGTTGTAATGAAATTATAAGGAATTAAAAATATGATGTGATTTTGATAATAAGAATGATTTGTTTTAATGCATTTTTTTTACAAGGTTTTAAAGTTTTAAATTATTTATATTAAATTTGATTTGTTTTGATACTTTAATATTTGAGTTTAGTCATTCAAACTTTTTCATTTGAATTTACATGATTAAAGATTTCATGATTCTGACAATGACAAAAATTTGATTTAGTGAATTTTGGAAACTCTTATTTATTTTAATATTTCTTTCATTGCATTGATAGAATTGAAAAACTATGACAAACAATTAAAAAAAATTACACTTGTTTGAGAATAACATTTTGTAGAATCAGCTAATTGAAATTCACTGTAGAGTTAAGAAAATGCAAAGGAACAAGGTTCTCCATAAAAATAAGTCTTATATATTTCAAGACAATTTCATATTTCAAGACATTGATAGTTTCATTTCATGCATTTATGATAATTACATTCATTAATAGTATTTTGTTTTGTTTATATTTATATTACAATTCATAGGAATCATATTGATATAAGACTAAATAATTCTCTTAAAAAAACTTTCATCTTCATTTTGGTTTTAGCTTAGTCTTTTAGTCAAATAAGTAAACAAAACTTTTTTTATATAATTATTTAATTACATAATAAAATATATAATAAAGATATTTTTTTGTCAATTTCATATATAATTTTAAATTTATACAAAACTTTTGCAATTTTTTTTCAAAAATAACTTTATAAGAAATTACATGCGAATTTAAAATTAACAAAAAAAAATTTGTGAATATAAAATTATCAATAAATTATTTGTAGATTTAAAATTATTTGGGAATTTAAAATTGATAAAAATTTACATGTAAATTTAAATGGGTAAGAAATCACATTTGAATTTAAATTATAAAAAATTACGTGTAAATTTAAATTTAAAAAATTAGATGTAAATTTAAATTTGAAAAAAATTACTTACAAACTTTTTATATAAATTTTTAGAAAACTTTTTAATATTAAATTCCAATATAATTTATTATCTATGAACTAATTATATATATTGGTATGAAAAATTGTAAGAAACTTATTTTCGGGCAACTTTTACAAAAATTTGATAAAAAAATCCCATAAAAATTTAAAATTTCTAATAGTGACACTATTTCCAATGTCGGACTAGTCCATGCTTGAATCCCTACCGTTACTCGTTTTTAACCTAGTGTGGATAATATTGATTTTTTTTCTTTTCTTTCTGGTCCTTGTTACGCTGAGATGCATCAGAATAAGACTTTTAGGCTATTCTTCAAGCTTGTAATCACCATAAAATTATTCAACACATTAGGTTTTAAGCGTGAAATAGAACATCATCTGCAAGCATAGATGCATATGTAGAAGGTCATTTTTTTTAATTGGTAATTTGTAAGGGATCCAATATTGCCTTCTAAGCACTTGCTTGAGTTATCATTTCATCTAACCTTTTCATACTTGAGTCTTCTTAATGAAGAAAAATTAGATATTCAGATACCATTCCATGAGAGAAAAATTAATTTATGAATAAGATAAAAATAAAATTTAGAAAAAAATAAAAACCTTTTATAAGTTTAATTTATGTATAAGCTAATAAGTAAAATATAATTTCATTTTTATCTTTTTCTTTTAAAGAAAAATCTTCGAAATATATATATATATATATATATATATATATATATATATATATATATGACTAAGAAAAAAATTCCCTACAATTATTTCCCACCATACTATTAGTTTACTGAAACTAAATATTCTCTGCTAACTATTGTGGTTCATTTAATCCATAAATTTAAACTCCTATATCAAATTTTGCTTAATCTTGCTATCTAATTCAATGTCTTCTCCTGAGAGATGAGTAAAATCGTTGATATAAATAAGATACAATTTTAAAAAGTTTGGTAATATTTTTAGTTTCAAACTTTGAATCATGTATCATTTTAGTCGTCAAATATTTTAAAATTAATTGAGTATTTTACTTTTAAATTAAGAAAATTTAGTCCCTCTATTTTTATAAAAATTCGTTATTTCATTTTTTTTATCAGAATATTTATTTATGATAAATTTGATACATAAAATGATTTTAATAGTTTTAAAAATAGAAATGTAGAGTAAGGAAAACAATTTAATTGATTCAATTCGAAAAGTTAAATTAGTAGAAATGAAATATAAAGAAACTTGTATACTGTGAACATTTTATGTTTTCATTTCCATGAAAAAGGATAATTTCAGAAGAAGAAGAAGAAAATGTAACTTTTTTAAATAAATAAAAAGTTTAAAGCAACGAATAATGTTACCATTTCTGATATAATGTTAATAGATATGATTCTATTAGATAATGTTATTTAACAAGCTATTGTAAATAAATTAATGAGACATATTATCCTATCAAATTGTCTTATCTGTGTTCTTATATACATATATTAAAAAAAAAACATTACTTCTTTATTTATTTACTTTTTTTGAAACAATAGAAACCGCTGGCAAGTTTACACAAAATTTGCACGTTGAATCGTCAAATTGGAGTGGTGCATAAACAAAAGTGTCCAGGAAAGTAGCCTCAGTGCTGAACAAGAGCCAGAAGATGGCCCTCACCACCAGCATGCTGACACCCCCCATGGTAACCTGGCTGTGGATGAAATTCCTGTGATCAAACTCTCCATCGACACATCAGGGTTTTGGAGATTTGTTATCGAGCAGGAGTTCCAAGGGTAAAGTGCTGAGAAATGTAATGTCATTCACAAAGTAGTGACTAAGTTTTGATTGTTACATGATATGCAAATTACAAAATGATAAACACAATTTTATGCTTGAAATTTTCTAAATAAATTTAGTATTTAGAAATAAACTAGAAAAACATTCAAAAAAAGAAATAAACTCTAAAATGAAGATAATTTTTTTTTATCAAGCTAAATGTTCATCCTAAGAGTATTTAAGTATTTAAAATAAGCAAATAAAAAATAATAAATATGAATTAAGTATTTAAAGTAGAAGAGAATTCATGTATGTCACTCTTAAAATGGATAGGGAAGTCCCATTCCTCTCTCTACTGGAAAAACCATTCTCTAACATCAATACAGATCCTACTTTCTAAAATGCATCTTCCTAGAAAATCATCAAAAAGTTCAAACCCAAAAAACAATGCAGGATTAGTCAGTCTCATATATCCCTACCCTTCTCTCTCTCCCCCCACTTTCCTTCCCCTTTCTGCAACTTTGTTTCTCCTTCCTTCTTTACACCCTTTTGTCTCCCACCGAGAAGAACTAAGCTGCAGAAGATAACAATATAAACATTTTAGAAGGGTTGTATAAAATGACATCGCTGAACATTTGAATTGTTTCACATAAACTATTCGAACCTAAAGGGCATTAAAAAAAAAACAAATACTCATGTTGTTGGTCTAACACAGCAAAAACCAAACTGTTTTGACATATGTGTTTTGTTTTATACTCTCACTCTGTCTGTGAAAGAGAAGATAACATCCCTTCCTTGATTAGGTGCAGCAAAACCACCTCAACTAGGCCAAAAAAGAAAATCGAATGAGGAAAAACACTCTCTGCACACCAACCAAGATTCTGTTTTTAATTCCAATGAAAATAACTTGGACTAATCCCTTTTGAATTCTAGTTTTCTTCAACGCATAATTTCATATTCCTATTATAGTACTACTTGTTTATTCTCTATTTACAGATGCTATTTCCCTTATTGCAACATATACAAGTGCAACCCTGATTGTTTACTAATCAGACATAACACAAGATACCTTTGAGCAAACCCTTAAAACTCGATTTTCCGCAGACTAACTACAATACATGCCAAGTATTCAAAACTATGAAATTGTCCAATAATTCAAAGATTAAAACGAGAGTGTTATTTTGTAAATTTAATAACCAATATATATATATATATATATATATATATATATAGAGAGAGAGAGAGAGAGAGAGAGAGAGAGAGATTACCAGGGTCGGTTTGGGGCTTGGGTTGCATACGGGAGAGCATTAGGTGTTGGTGATGCGGAAGAGCGAGAGGGTGGGTGGGCGCGTGAGGGAACGCGTGATCGGCGGCGAGGGAAGGGGAGAGAACAGCGAGGTTGTTGAAGGCGGCGTGGGAAGCGTGAGAAGCGGAAGCACCGTCATCGTTGAAGGAGAAAAGATCCTGCTGAGGAGGAGGCGCCGTTTTGAAGGGAAAGAGAGAGAAGGTGCGGGGTTGAGGCGGAGGAGGCGGAGGAGGAGGGAGCATGGAATGGGTTCCCATGTAAGAGGCGAGTTCCTTCTTGGCGTGGTGGAGTTCGGTCTGCAACTGCTTGAGGCGGTGCTGGAGGATGGAGATGAGACCCACACAGCCATAGACAGGGTCCCGCAGACGCGCCTCGGCCTCGTAGGCGAGTGACTTAACCGCGTCCTCGCGCTGCGCCGCGTTGAGCTCGTTGAGAAGCTTGGCCACGTTGCTCGCCCCGAACACCTTGTGCACGTAGGCGAAGCGCTGCGGGTTGTCCGGCGGAAAATACGGCGCGAACACGCACTCCTGCGTGCACTTCCGGCGCTGAATCTTGCAGGCCGCGCACGGCGAATTGGAAGAGGAAGACGACGACGACGACATTGTGTTCAGTGTAATAACAGTTAGTTACTCTGGTTGTTTAGCAAGTGGACAAAACGCACCGCTTTGAGGATCTGAAGATTTATTAGAGAGATCCAGAAAGTTCCACGGTTAGAGGACATAGAGTTGGTTGTTGGTGGTGTTGATGATGATGATGTTCGCTATTACGCCATTTCAGATTTTGTTTTTGCTGCTGCACCCACGACCCCGACTTACTCGCTCACAAAGCCACGCACTTCATCTTATTACTATTTTTATTATCATTTCAAAATCTTTTTTTTTTTTTTTTCATTAATTCATATACTTTGACTTTTTGTTTCTTCTTTTGTAAACCAATTTCCACTATTTTGTTATTTACAGTGACTCCCTTTTGGAAATAAATGTTTACTTAATGGAGAATCCTTTTGTTGAAAATAAAGGGAAATGACTACTAATTAATGTAGAATCCTTTTATTTGGTGATTCAATAGTCAACAGTGAGCAATTACTGCGCCTTTAATATTCAATGGAAATAAAACCTTATTCCTCAGTTCTCCATTTAATTGCATCACAAAAGGTACGTCCACAGATATTCAATTTTTTACTCTTGAGGGTGGATAATGTATTCTACAATTATTATTCTTTTTTAAAATTAATTCTACCGATATAATATAGTTTAGGGTTTTGGGTGAAGAACATTTCTAGTAGAATGTGTTTACATATCATACATTTTTATTTTAAATGAAACATGTTATATTTTTATTTATATTTCATCTTCTGGCAACTTAAAAAATAATTTAATTATTATAATTAAATATTAATTTAGTATAATATTTTAAAATAAAAAATTAATTAACAAATTTACACATTTATTTTAATATGTATAGTTACTTTGTCTATTAAATTTTTTAAAAATTACACAATGAACAAATAATAAAAATAAACAATAAAAAACTATAAATTATTTATAACAATAAATATACACTAATCTTTATTATTTTCATATCTCAAATGTTATGTTTCCCTAATTCATGAAAGACTCCAATCACAATAAAAAAAAAAACTCACATTTATAAGTTATTATTATTTTTTATATACTGATTTTCATTATTTTAGAATAGAAATTTTTATAAAAAAATAAAAGTAATACTTTTTTAATTTTTATAGGAAAAATATTAAAAAATATATTTCAAATATAAAAGGATAATAATAACAAAATTACTAAATAGTTTATTTTTTTATCATTAAAACAAAAACAAAATGTTCAAACATAAAAATTGAGAGATTAATTTCAATTTATGAGAACATTTAGAAAAAATTATGAGATATTTATTTTTCTTTTTTTAAGCAACGTTGTTTCTACAAACAAACGTTGCTAAAGTTTAAAAAATTATCTCCTTCTTATGTAGATAAACTTCACTACTGTTATTTCCAAGACATATAGGTACTTTTTTTTATCAAGAATAAAACACTCTATAATCGAAACTTTCTCTAATATAATTTTAAGATAATTATTATTGGACTTACATAGTTTACTTTTTTAATATATTTTTTATTTATAAAACTTGGATTTAATATTATATCTGATAAATTCAAATTTATTTAAATTTACATTAATTAATTGTTATAAAAATGCATTTAATGATAAAGATATTTTTTAAGATTATAATATTAATTTTGAAAGAGTAAATGATCATATTCAACTAATAGTAGAGGTGATGATTTTGCTTAAGATTATATATATATATATATATATATATATATATATATATATATATATATATATATATATATATAGTTTTTGTTTATTTATAAATTTTTTCTTCATTTTTATCCTATGACAAGACAATTGATATATGTTATATGCCTTTTGGCCATTTTTAACATAATGACCTAATTCATTGTTGTTTAGTTTTTTTGTTTGTTTCTTTAGTATTAATTTTAGAGATTAACAATAATGTATGTAATTAACAATACTCATTGTTTTTTTAGACTTATAAGTCTAGTTACGTTTATTAATTGTTTACATACATACGTTTTAAATTTCAAGATAGGCCAAGATTTCAAAAGAATCCTATAAAATAAATTGGACGCAGCTCAGTAACAATGTTATTATACTTAGGTTAAGCAAAATCCGATTTAACAAGTGTTTGTAATTATGTATGATGAACATTAGTTAATTACAAACTTAAATATTGATTGTTGAATAAACAATAAGTAGAGATTATTTTTAATTGAGACGATAGGGAGAATCAAAATCTTATTCCCCAAATATTGTGTATTTTTATATACGTTTGTTTAATTTTTTAAAAATAAAACAATTAATTGCTTATTAGTAATTTTTTTAAGCATTAACAACTATATTCATTCATTATATGAAAAAAATTAATTTTTTTTTATTGAAGTCTAATTTTCATATTAAAAAAGAATAAATATAAAAAATATTAAATTATCATATTTAGTGGAGTAACTTATTTTAAATCTTACTTAAGGGATCATATGTCCCTTTAATTTAAAGGAATACAAATTCATTTAGTTAGTGAATGATACGTAATTATTTTTTAAAATATAGTATTGCAAAGTTGATGTTTATTGAATTGATTATAGTAAATGATACAAATTTAATATACTTTTTATCCAGTATAAAATTTTTACTTAAAGTTATTTTAACTCAAAAATCAATTTTTTAGCCTGAAACCAAAATATAATTCTTTAGCTATATGACATTTCAAAATGATTTAGATAATCTAAAATGAATTCAAACACATTGTTTTCTTTTTTATTATTATTATTATTATTCAAATTTTACTAATTTTTTTAGTTAATAGTTTCACGGACAAATTAATAATAATAATAATTAAAATAATATATTTAAAATATACACGGAAGTTGAAGCAAGTATATCATTATAATAGTTAAGTTTTAATTTTAAACGCTAGTAATGTTGTTGTTATAATAATAAGTTTACATTTTTAAATAACAAACTTTTTAAATTGATTTCTTATGTTTTTGAAGGATGATAAAAACATCATACATTTTTATTATCTCTACTAATTTTTTTTTTTTTAGATTTTGACCTGTTTCAATTTGTTTTTTTAACTAGACACTTAACATTTTGATTTTTGCAATAATCTCAATTTAAAAGCAATGCTATGTACATATAAAAAGTTTACCCATAATCGTGGTGTGATAACAAATTTAACTGACATGCGAAGTTGATATCTTTTTTAGATATTTAAAAATCTTGACTTTATTATAAGCATATACAATAAATATAGTGACGTAGGCGAAGTTTGAATATATATTATTTAAAAGATAAAGATAAATTAAAAGGATGAAATAAATGAATTTTATTGTAAGAACATATAGTTCGATAAATAAAAGAAAAAAAAATGTGAAATAACAGAGTTATGGGTTGAAGAAGGGTGTTGGTGGTGGTGTTGAAGACGATAGATAGGTGTAGAGTGTAGCTAGCTGGCAGGTGATGACACGTGCGTGAATGGACAGTAGTGATGGTGCTGTACTGCAATAACAATAAAAAGAGAGGGGCAGAGTGGTAATTAATGAAAGTTCTGTCTTCCTACGAGTTCATGTCGATAACCTGCGGCACTGTCGTTTTGATTGACATAAGCGGTAATTACCTTGTAACTTTTGCCGTTTTACTCACATGGGATGGAAGTGACTAAACCTTAACCGTGTAGAGTCAGCCGTCACCTCCTCCTCTCCTCCCTCCTTTCTCAACCGTGTAGTCACTTTCATGTGTGAAGCGTTGTGCAGCGTATCCTCCATTCACGAAACTCAACCATTATTATTATTATTGTTATGGTAATGTAGTGGCATCATGTGCTTGCTGCTGCTGCAATTAATAAAAAAGGACGTACCCTCCTCCGTGGTTAGGGTTAGGAAATGGACGAAGGAAAAGTTGAGGAGGTGGAGGAAAGGAGGGGAGAGGGAAGGGGGACAAAAGGGAAGGAAGGAGGTGAGGACCATGGGATGAAATGAGATGAGATGAGACAGTGTCAGTGATTCAGTATGTTGGTGAGCAATTGCGTGCACACGGATTCATGCCATTAATGTATTCCCACTGGCCCTCCCCTCTGCTTCTTCATTCGTACCCCTCTCCTTCCCTCCATTCTTTTTGTCTTCTTCTCTTCTAGTTCTCCATTTTCTTTTCTCTACGTTTCTCCACCTAACTCCTCATTAATTCCTTCCCTCAACACTATAATGTCTCTTCTACCTTTTCTTTCCTACACTCTAATAATACTCTACATGCCTTTTCAGACCAAAAAACCATAACATCACTTTTAACATGGTTTACCTTCATTCAACATGTAATATTTATATAAAATGTACACTAATCAAGAGTGTGTAAAATTTATTATATATTTTATTAATAGTTATAACAAAAAATATTTTTTAATTATTACATTTTTTAATAGAGACAATTCATTAATAATTCAAATATAATTTTATATACAAAATTATATATTTAAGAAGTATTTATTATTTTTAAAATAAATTATTTTTCATAAATATTATTAATTTTATAAGTATATAGTATATTTCTTAATATTATATAAATATTAAATATTATAAATTAAATTTCTTACTACTAACAATAATATAATTATATTTATTATTATTACCTATAAGTTTTCGTGGGTATGTACAGTACGGAATGAATTGAAGATATGATTTGTCACATGAATAGAAGAATTTAATGTTGAAAGAATCATGGTTTACGATGTATATGAGTCGTATGGATTTGAACTTCATATATTATGTATCATTTGTTGTTCCCTTGCATCTTAATGATATGAATTATAATTTATTTACATTTGATGATGAGAGTAAGGAAATTGAAAAACGATGTGATATAGTATGTATGGTTTGTGCATTAAACAAATAATTCTTGATGGTATATATTGAATCTATTACCGAACTAATCATATAAAAAACAAAAAAAAAAATATATATATATATATATATATATATATATATATATATATATATATATATAAATTC